GTATCCCAGGCCTTCTTTCGAGCACACTCTTCCTTGAAGTCTTTCTTGATTGCCCGCTGCCGGATCAACACTGTGTTGACATCCACAGTTGGGGTGTCTTCTTCTAGCAGGGTGCGAAGTTCTTCAGGTAGGTCTTCGGCATGGGCCACAAGTGGCTTTCGATCCTAGTTTGGTGTTTTAGGGCTCGGTGCATTGGCGATTTAGGGTTTGAGGCTTCCTTGTCATAAGGTTTCAGGGGTTCTTCGGACATATTTGAACATTAATTATAATTATAACATGATGTATTGAGTGATGATCTACAAGTTCTTTTGAAGCACTTTGGGGCAGGGAGTTGCAAGCAACTAATGCAAGATATACTTGTAGCGACAAGTACATGTAGCGAATGGCATCAATTATTGCCGGCAGGTTGCTTTCTGACCCACTGGCCTGGACTTGGCATTCACCTCGGCTCCAAAGTGTCTAGGCTTACACTTTATGTGACATTGGGAAGTTTCGATAAGAGCATCGTTCATGGTCCGGGGGTGCATTGCGGGGAATTGGAAGACGACATTTTCGGGTTTATTCAGTCCAAGGGTCGCGGGCCGTCCCAGCTGCTTGATCTGTTTTCGCAGACACAGCCTCACACATTATGGAATCAGCAGTTATAGTTCGAGATCGCTAATTAATAATGCATCGCCACTGTCGTGTTGAAATAATGTAGCCCAGAAACTTCCAAGGACGGGGTTGCAGATTCACCCACCTCAACTTCGGCAGTCTGCTCTAGCAAGCCACAACCATATTTCTGATATACTGCTCAAACTGTAAACGACAGGTACCAGAACCGCTTAGGCACTGCTGGACCGGTGAGGTCCACAGACTCGGCTTTCAACATCTCCTCCCGCAGCAGGATCTCCAAGGGATCTATCTGACCCTCAGTAGTACAAAGACTTAGCAGATGCAAGAAACAACGATGCCGATAGTAATTCTTGAACATAGTCTAGGCACATCATCCGCCAGTTCGGCTAGCACCTCCTCCCCGTCAATCTCCATGGGGTGTGGGACATCCTGAACAGTAGCTAGGCATCTAGAATTACAACATGATCAAGCAACATGTGAAAGACCATAATTAAATGTATCATCGTTATCATAGGCACCTCCGGGCCGGCAAACTCCTCCGACTCGAGCTCCTCTTCCCCGAGAATCTCCGTGGGATGTGGGACGTCCTTGGAGTACAAAGTCTAAGGATGATTATTGCAGTATCAAGCGCTACAATTTTGATTCAGACCATTACATCATATCGTTTGGGGGCCTCCGGACCAGCAAACTCACTGGAGTCGAACTCGGCGAGCTCCTTTTCCCCCAGAATCTCCGTGGGATGCGGGACATCCTGAAGCTTTGGAGCCAACACCACAGTACGAGGGTATATAGCTAGCTAGCTTAGCATTTGGAATCAGTTGTGCAAAGATGTACGTGGTATCACTGGGGAGCCTCTGGGCCAGCAAACTCATCATTTGAATCGGACTCGGGGAGCTTCTGAGCCCCGGCAATCTCCACAGGATTTGGCACATCCTCAGTATTGTATGGGCAGATGCAAATCTGTATATATATGGGTACATGATCATCATGCGCATATATTTAAGTCAAAAGACTGATGGCAGGTCCGTTCCATCTCTGCTTAGTGACTGAGATGAGAGTAGCCGATGCATAGCAGTCTCAAGGTCCTTAGTTGGGGTAGCATTTTCGATCATAGATCACAGCAGTCATCTTGCAACACCAACAGGATCATACAGGGTTTAGGGGTTAAGGATTTAGGGTTCGGTCTTCTAAAATTACAACAAAGTTTAAAGCCCAGCTACCGCTTCAAGATTGCGGGGTCGGATATCCGGGCTTGCATCCTCCCCCGAGCCTGCTCCCTCACTGGGAGCACTCTCATCCTCAACCTCATCCTCCAATGCCTCAGGCTCGCCATTGTCGCTTTCCGCTTCCTCTTCGTCCGGGCGGCTGTGGAACGACTCCTAAGCTCGTGCTCGAAAAAATCCCAGTCCGAGCAGGGCATTCGACCCCAAGCTGCCTACTCCCATGCCCTCATAAGTAAATAGTTATGCAAAGAACTAAGGCCTGGCATCTAGATCTGAATAGGGTTGGGGTTTTGGCAGGTTGGACATCAGGGTTTTAACATCCTAGTTCAATTTAGCTAGGCTTTCACGGGGCTTACACATAAGATATTTAGCTCGAGGCTTTCAGGCTTGCGGATCCTCCCTCTAGAGATCTGTAGCTAGCACTAGCTACACATCTAGAAGCTATAGTTTTATTATGTTCTATCTGAGATTCCATAGTGGCCCATTCCATCTTCACGGCAAACAGCTGCTTCAAGATGAGGATCTTGGTTTTCCTGAGATGGGGTACTGGGATCTACGGGGGTTTTCGGCTGTATGTTGCTAGCTTTATTTTGTTAAATGCAGCTCATGGCACTTAGCATGAAGGGTGCGTCGTGTCACACGCTGCAGGTTAGCCAGCAACTGGCGTAACTTGGCCCCTTCCTCGTAGGACCACTCCTGCCAACGGCAGGTTTATCTACCGTAAGTATAATTACACCCTCACAAAACAGTGCATGTAGTAATATTTTTAGTAAGGCCTTCACAGTTGATTTGCCTCCCCTTGTCCGCACCGATGGGTGCAAAGAATACACACACGAGAGGTGCACCAGGCCAATCTGCCCAGGAAAGCTGTTCGAAACGACTTGTGATCATGAATGCACAGATCAGGCACAAGTCCGAAATCAGTTTTCAATCGAGGAGCTTTGAAGTCACCCAAATTGGGAATGCCCATATCCGGAGCAATGCTCTGCGCAACGAAAGTCTTCAACAGTTGGAAGTTGCGGATCATAGCCGCCTCGGCCTGATGATTTCAATCCGGCTACAATCATGACATTTCCCAGAAATCGAAACATCAATGCATGAAACTGCCCCACCTTGTTGTGGCATGCTTTGCCGTGCTGCGGTGGAGCTTCCAGCACCAAACCCCGAGCCTCAAAGCCAAAACTACCCCCTTCTGCTGCAGAGAAACTCAAAGAAGCCATTATTTCATACCAGGTTATGCCGAGGTACCGGGTCAGCTTTAATCTTTTCCAGGTTGGCTTCCAGGAACGGGCGGATACCATTGGCCACCCTTTCGGCGGCTTCCTGGGGCGATGGTTGGGGGGAACATTATAGTTTCGAACAGGTAAACACTATTTACACGTGACCCCTAAAATTAGCCCAGCAGCAGTCAAGAAGTACTTCATGGGCTGGGTAAACTCACGCTGGACAAGTGCCATGGCTGCTGTCGGAAATATTGCAGAAGTTTGACACATGCAAGATACTGGCCGGTACATGCCTGCATGTATCACCTGCCCCTTGTCGAAGCTTCAAAGCTGCAGCAATCGATATCATGACCACACAGCATGGTGCATCAGCTGCAGCACGCAGTCAACTGTGCAGCGGGGGGTCGCACCTTGCTTGGTGTTGGCGTGCCGCTTCTTAAACAGCAACGATGCCCGAAGCATTGCAAAAAACTGTATGCAGTGAATTTCATGAGATGTGGCTTCATCCCTACATGTGAAAGCTGCAAATGTCAAGATGATGGCAGTGCTTGTGATGACAGGTGTGTTTTCACATGATTCACATGACTGTATATGCACTTCAAAGCCACCCTCAGCAAGCCTTATAAGCCAATACCTCCCTGGGCAACAAATCAAGAACAAATCCACGCTCAGCAAAACATGGCCTGAGTTCTTAACATAAGGGGACTCGGAGCCTCAGGGTCAGATACCTGCGAGTAGCAACTGCTACTAAATAGGAGTCGGGCCCATACTTTCTGCAATGTAGGTGCTGAATATAGGGGCCTTAACAATAAAATATGGTTTTGGGGCACATTCTACTATAATTATGATAAGGAACCCCCAAAACTGTCTTGGTAATTATGTAGGCCCACTATACTATAGAACCCTACTATAGATCCCATATAGACCCATACAAGGAACCTATAGAAAAACCGTCTTGGTAACTATTTGGACTGGCAAGGCGCTAGGTCTCGAAAGAAAATCGAAAGATCCTGTGAATCTTAGGGTTCAGGGTGTTGGGTTCAGGTTTTAGGGTTCAGGGTTTAGGTTTTAGGGTTGGTTCTTGGTAGAGAATGGGGGAATGGATCCCTATTTAAGGTCGCCTTTTGGGAAAACCACGAGCCGAGAGACGGCTATGCTACGTTTCTCGACATCCCCTAAACTCTGAACCCTATACTATACCCTAAGCCTCATCCTAAATCCCAGACCCTGAACACCCCAAACTTTAGCCGGAACTCTACCCTACATGCCCAGGATATGTTCGAAACATTCGCAGTTTGAGTAGGCACTGTCGGAACATGTTTACACTGGGTATGTGAGTGTCCAAAATGATAGAGCATTCTGAACTGCTAGAGATGTAAATTTAAAGCGTTGCTTGATGCCAAAACCAAACTACTAAACCCTAAAGCCTAGACCCTAAACCCTGAACATCCAAAACCTTAGCCACCGAAATGAAGCTGAAGAATACTCAAGGCCCAGGAGTCCAAACCGAAAGCATCCGGACCACACCTAAACCCTTAGCCCTAACAGGGGCCTTGGTATTTTGAATAGTTGTGGGGGGGGGATTGTATAGCATATTTGCGGTGGGTGCTATAGCGACATATCGCTTACGAATTAATAACAAGTAATACCCTATCCCTCCAAGGACCTCATAGTTAGGGCCCAAGACCCCTTAAGGACACCATAATAAGGTCAATGAAAACATAGGGATAATTGTTCAGACCTCGGATATTGAACCAGAAATGCTCTACCCTGAAAACAAGCGCCAAGTAACAAGCCAGAGCAATATCAAACCTCAACACTGCAAACATGCATAATGCCCTCTAAGGCGCAAGCAAGCCCTACACAGCCACCATAAACTCCCGATGCAAGCCCGACAAGAACCCGATAAAACCGATAGTTTAGGCCGATGCCGGGTCGCTCTTCAGACTTAGCTGCTGCCGTTGGCTGGTGACTTGAAGCTCTCGTACGCCACGGCCTCTTAAGGGCTTAGGGTTCAGGAGGCTCTTTCCACGGATCGTCTGGAGCTTTACTGCTTGACCCTAACCCTAGTGGTTCCGTGCCCACCAAGCGAAAGCAGCACACATTGGCCCTTCAGTACCTGCATAGGAACCCTTGTAAGAAAGAGTGTGAAAAAACTATGTTATGGGCGTCTAATCCATAAGAAAATACGCTTTGCTTCCAAGGGCATGATTTTTTGGGCCCCAGACCCCTTAAGGACCTAAAAATAAGGTCCCTGGTTTCATGGGGATACCCTCTTAGGGCTCTTGAACCTTTGAGCCCCGGCAGAGCATTTACTGCGTTTCGGAGTAGGGCTGCGAAAGCTGCAAACCCAACCTACATGGGAGAACGTAGGGTTTCTATGATTGGAATTACTATTATGATTTGGGGAAGTATCCCCCATAACAGTACCTAGGACCCTTTGGGAAACAGTAGGTTTTCCGGCTCTAGAAGCACGAAAGGTTTAATAGGTTTTAAAGGTTTATGTGGGGAGTTTCTAGGCTCCCAGACATAACCTGGGAACTATAGATAGACCTTAGAAGCTGCCCCCGCCCTGTAATAGTGACTATAAGGATTATACTGGGGCCCTATTACATTCCTAGTCTACCACTATTACAGGGTGGGGGCCCCTTCTAAGATAGACCTCAACTATAAACGATTCTGTTTCAAGGTCGTGCGGCTACCGCTGAAACATGTCCAACAGCACGCCCGGCTCTTCTGGAGGTCTCGTGGCTTCGTATGTTCAGAACTATACTGAACTTAGAACCCTAGCAACAATTAAAATTTCAGCTGTTTCTTAGGGATTATAATTCCCAAAAAATAAAAAATATTTCTAAGTACCCCTAAGAGAAGGGGGTTTATGGGTTCAGGGTTGGGGTCGAGGGTTCCGGGTTTAGGACCCACCACTTCAAAGCTGAAAGACCTGAAATCACAAAGCCCCGCTCTCGAACCTTCTTATACAAAGGTAAAATCACCAACACAGCCCATAGACAGCTCTAAAACCTTATGGATCCTTACGGAATCGTGAAGGAGACCTTTGAGGCGCTAGAAAATGCCATAACACGCTTCTCAAAAAGCCGTGAACCTTGAACCCCAGCCTAATCAAACCCTAAACCCCGAAACCCCTCAACTCTCAAATCCAAAACCCCCCGAGCACTACTCTCTACTATAGAGACCTTATAATCATTGCCTATACTATTCTGGGGGCTCCTTATAGAAGTATTTTCACAATTAAGGCCCCTACAACATAGAGCCTTATTATAGACCACTTTTAGAACCCTTCAAGGAACCCAAACTCCAAGTCCCAAACCCTAAATCCAAGGGTAAAAGGAAGGACCCTTGATAAGGACCCCTAGGTATATACCCATAAATATAGCTATTATATACCCATGATATTTAGTCCATTATAGGGTAGGGGTCCCCATTAAGGGTCCCTCCCTTTCCCCTTTGACTAAACCCAACGGCCTTCTCAACCCAGACCTTCCAAAATCCATTAATTAAGGAATATACCTTAAATTATAGTAAGGTCCCGAATATGATTTAAGGTATATTCCTTAATTAAGGGATTTTGGAAGGTCTGGGAACAACATCAACTGCCGAGGCACCAGTGCTTGAGGCCGCCCCAGAAACGCCGCTTTCGATGTTATCCAAGGTCTCCCCCTGAGCCTCTGCTGAACTCAGCGGTTCTCTCTAGGGTTCATGTGCCCAAATAGTAAAAGTATGTGTATGAGTATATATATATATATATACATACATATACATATATATATATATATATATATATACATATTATGTGTGTATACATATATATATATATATATATGTCAAGGGTGCATGAACCTACATACTCTATCGGGGCACTACAGAGGTTCTGTACCGTAACGGTTCCGCGGTGGCCCTCATTGAGGGTCCTACGTTCCACATGATTGAAAAAGGTTCTACACGGTCTAGGTCGTTCACGCGGCATCACGTATAAGCTTGTATTCAGGCTGCTTAGAATTTCAAGTGATGAATGTATATATGTCTAAATCTGCAATCGTGTTAGTAAAATTGCAGGACTTAGCAAGTAGGCCTATATGCTCCGTAGGCGGGCTTATACATTTGACCCTCCGTCCCCAATAAGCAAACTTGGCTGACTTGTGAACCCCTCGTAAAGGTTCTTTTTGCGTCCGTATTATGGTTCATATAAACCCCAAAACTTGATGTCCTAAGAGCCAGCCAGAAGAACCCCAAGCAAAGAGCCTGAGCAATTTGTGCGATGTCCAACAGTGCCCGTTGCATCTCACGGACCTTCAAAGCACATGGGAACGGAACTCTTCCGGCTAGTCCTAAAGGGTTTATAAGGGTTTGGGATTTAGGGTTTAGGATATACTCTTGGGGCCCAAATACCTACTACCGTATAATGGTATTTGGACCCTTTGGGAGATTGAAGCTCTTAAATTCTGGCCTGAACCTTGAAGGGGAACGTATGTTTGGGATTGAGGCTCTCGCGTGCTTCGTGCTTAGGGTTTAGGGTTCTATCAGGCCAGCCCAACAACCCAGCATTAGCGGTCTTCATACTGCTACAGCAGAGGGTAAGAGGGCTCGTAAGTGTTGATGCTGGAGCCCCCCCAAACCCTCTAAACACATAAAACTCCAACACGGTCTTCTCGGATTGCCTTTCAGGGGCTGTCATCTGGAGCTGGGGAGCGCCCGTACTGATTGAACCCTCAACCCTTAGAAGGTGGGGGTTTCTGCCTGGCAGTGGTGCCGTAGACGCGCTGGTGCTTCCGGTTCGCGTGTTGCGTAGCTTGAGCTTACGATTCAGGGCTTTGGGGGTTTAGGGTTCAGGGGTGTTCCTAGAGCTGGCTACAGGCACAGGGAGTGGCAGTACACAGCTGCGGGCGAGAAGAGGTTATGATATGAGGACCTTGGAGGAACGGTGGAATCGTGATGTTGATGCACATGTATCACAGTTCGATGGTCTGCAAGTGACTCGATGTCTGCAAAGGCTTTAAGACAGGACAGTGTCTTTCGAGGTGTAGTTAATAAACAACAGGGATCGAACCGAAATATCTTGTTACTTAGTCAGGCTTCTTGCTGACTTGACCCCTTTTCAGTTGACCGCTTTTTTTGCTGGGGTCCGAGAGGTTACCCACCACATCGTACAGGCCAGAGCCGGCAACTCAAATTCAGCACACACCAATCCGCAATCTAGAACCTGAAACTGCTCAGAAAGCTGGGAAGCCAGGAGAACTGTATCTGTTTGCCTGAGGCGTCTGAATACTGAAGGCCACTAAACCTGTGGTTTTTGGAACGGAGGTACGACTGTCTCATCTTTTCCGTGGTATTTCAACGTTCCTCCATGCAGTCGCGACCCTAAACTTTCAAGTTTTGGGTATAGCAAGACGGGGAATGCTGAAAGACTAGCAGATTAGGGCAGCTTGACGTGTCTTGCGGCCTGCGGCCACAAGCAAGGTCCACCCATAAGTTTTTTTGGGGCCAGGCCACAGACACTCAGATTCGAGGGCTTACAGTTTAGGGCTTAGGCTGCTAGGAGATCTTGATCTGAGGCCGTGCCTGCTGAGAGACGCGCTCTGCATCCTGCGCATACCTGGGGCTGTCTGCAAGGATCCCTCAACCCCTGTCCCTAACCCAACAACCTAAACCCCCCAACCCTACAATCTAGATCACCCCTTAAACCCTGACCCAAAAGCCCTAAACCCTAACCCCCCAAATCCCATGTATACACTGTATACCCCATTCAATGGGCATGGGGTGGCGACACCGAAGGCTTCAACATCTTGGCCTTTGCGCAGGTAGTGAGACAAACGGGTATAGTCACAGAGATAGATGCAGAGATAGATAGATAGACAGATGGATACAGAGATAGATAGAAAGTGCCCGGGGCCTGGGGGTGTTGTATTGAAGATTCGGCGTTTTCGGCCTAACCCCGCGTTGCCCAAAACCTCGAAACCCTCAGGAACCCCTGTTAAAAGCAACAACACCAAACCCTTAAACCCTTCAACTTCTAACTCAACAAAATCCCTATGCTCGTACCCTAAACCCTACCCCCCTCCCCGCCCCCACCCAAAAAAAAATACAGAAGAAGGCAGGGCACTCGTCAACAATGGCAGCATGGAGGTTCGCTTCTCCGGAGGAGATCTCCCCCCTGTGAGGGCCGTCAGGGACGTCGGACAGAATATGAGGGGCCTTACGGGGTACCTTGTAAAGGGGCCTACAAGGGATTCTATAAGGGTGTGTGGGTAAGGGTCGAGTATAGGGGCCTTGCAAGGGCCTTGCTAGTAACAATTAGAATAGGTTTTGGGGCACATTATAGTGTAATTGCAATAGGTCAATAGGATTATTTACTATCGGGCTAAATTTGTACACTGGCCTGAAACACAGAGGACGGCTGTACTGTGCCAGCGAGATTTCCGATTTCCGTAATTTACCACAAGGGCCGTATAATTGAAGGGATTCATCAGGAATTAAAAGAGTTTTATCGGATTGTATATAGCGCACCAAATACCGCTTTTGGGGTAAACTGTTGTCTGTGCGAAAAGGATGTAAATGCCGCTTTGGAGGTAAGCTGTCTGTATGAAAATATTGTATATTCTTTAGGGTTGCAAGATGGGGTCATACCCTACTATACACAACAACTGCCATGACGACCCAGGGCTTAACGGCTTCAGGCTTTCGGGCTTGAGGCATCGCTTCGATGGTGCCGGACCTGCAGATGAGAAGATGCCTTCCGTGACTTCGTAGACCTTAGAAGGTAGTACCTTGTGCTTGGATATCCAAGGGCTAGGTATGTCAGATCTTCAACATATACCACCCTTTGTCTGTACTACATATCACTATCCCCATATTTTAGGTATATAGGTCAGACTGTACCCTCACTCCTTCGCAGTCGTGAAGTCCTAAGGCCTATACAGGAAACCCCAGACCCTAAACCCGAAATCATGAGCTTTAAAAACTCAAACACTACGTGCCATAATGGTTTACTAGTAGAAGTTGCGAGCCCTAAACCCTAATAGACGTCTTATAGAAGCGTCACGGGATCCCCAATGATTCGAACCCGTCCTGGGCGCTGTCAACCCGAACTTTCGATGGAGCGCCTCGTCGCCATCATCGTCTGCCCAGTACTCGGCCCAGTTGCCGCGGTGGCCGCAGCCCCCTCGGGCGCGTCTGCTAGCGCCTGGTCTTACTTGGAGGGCTTCTTACAGAACCCTCGTAGAATCACCATAGAACCCGTCTTGGGTACCCTAGCAACAACTTTGTGAAACCATTAAACCCACTTCATGCTTCAAAAATTACCCGAGGCCCTCAAACCCTAAAACATTCCTCAACCTCAGCCCCAGGCTCCATCCCAAAGGGTCCAAGTATCATTATAGTATATACTTCGACCCCCAAAATAGTGATACTTGGACCCTTTGGGCGTTGAACCCCCTAAGCCTAAACCCTAAACCCTGAACCCTAAACCCCGGGCTCCGTTGCATTTGAGGAACCGCCGCAGCGGCAGCCACGGCCTTCTTTTGAGCCTCCTCGGAGCTCAGCGTTTACTCAAGGGGTCCATGTGGGAGTTTCCGAAAATCTCAGGTCGTCACGTCGTCACGCGCTGCGCCCCAAAATTTACGCGCAGCCACAGACATCAATGCTAATATAGTACCTTAAATAGTAGGTCCTTTTTATAAGGAGCCCCAAATAGGGTACCCCCAATTTTCGGAAACTCCCATGTACCCTTTGTTCCGTTAAGGGGCCTGCAGAAAAGAGTTGTCCAGGGTGTATGAGCGTTTATACTCTGGCATTAAGGAGGTTCCTGGTTGAGGATTTGCGATTGGGAGTTCTTTCGGCAATATTGGCAGGGGCCTTAACATACATGGTGTTTCGGTTTAGGGTTAGGAAGGGTTTCGAGCCTGGGAGATTTTCTAAGGAAGGAACGGGGCTGACTTTGAGGCCACAACTTTCAAGGTCTGAAGCGCTGAATCTCGAAACCCTTTTCCGTTCTCTGTACACAAGTGAACTTCGACGTCTTCTTGTCGACAGCCTGTAGCAAACCCTTTACAACCAGCATACAAAATCCTAGCCCTAAACGAATCATAGTGCTAAACCGGCAAACCAAGTCTGCTGCTATGACAAGTCTGTGCGAGAAAATCATAGAGCCCAAGAAACGCATAAGCAAACATCAGGGTAGGGATATCCCACAAAAACCTATGTGTGCATATATATATATATATATATATATATATAATTGGTGTCTCTAGAATCTCCGAAAATGAAGTATCAGGCCTCGGCCTTTTGCCACGACGTCCATGCTTCCTTCCTGAGATCGGAGTCTGCCATGCAGGCTTGTAAGATATCAAAGGGTTCAAAGTACCTGCAGGGGTCCCTTCAAGGGTACTTTAAAGGTATATGAGATACCTATTTTTGCAGAATGTAGTGTTTCTATACTGGGAGTTATTATTATGATTTGAGAAGGTAGTCCGCAGAACAGTACCTTGGACCCTTTGTAGACATCAGGTACAGTAAGGGTGCGAGGTTCATGGGTTGGGGCTCAACTGTGGCAAAATATAGGCCGCAGGCCCAGTAGAATCTCGGCCCCAAGCGTAACCCATAATAAGTAGCCCAAGAGGCCACAAGATCTAGGTAGATTGATGTGGCAGCACCGATTGCTGTCAGTGCAACGGCATTAGACTGTCGTTGATGGGTACAGAAGGCAGGTGTCCGATTAAAATCACCCTTCCATGCATGAGGGACAGGAGAAGGGATCGTAATAGTATAGCTCTACCCAGAGGCATCCACAGAATACAAGAAATCCATGACAAGGACCCGTGCGTTTACGAACAACCTTGAAGCGTCAAACCTTGAAAAGCCCTCGCCAACAACACTCTGCAGCATCGGACTCAACCCCGAGCCATCCGATAGTCTCCATTGTAGTTCCTTTCTTGGTTAACCAAATTCGTATCATAGGGAGACTGCTTATGCGTCCTGAACCCCATAACATGGCCACTCCACCCCTGGTACTACACCAAAACAGCCCAAGCCCCAGACACCAATTCCTTAATCTCGATTTTCCAGCAAGCAAGCCCCAAAACCCCAAACCCTATGATGCCCTTCCCAGCGGGACCCTGAGGAAATGAAGAACCATGACCGTTGTAGTTTGGGAGACCTAATCCCAGAATGGTCGCCCTTTCTTGTGCCGGACGAGACGCAAGTCGTCGTCTGCCTTCTTCAGACTTTCTTTGAGCTTCCTTGCGTTGCATTTTGAGGTTTCGGATTCGAGCATGGAGCTAGCACTTTTGTGGTGTACATAAAAATAAGGCTCTTACAGGGGCTCAGGAGGTCTGCCTGCGGCTAACCAATGAATTCAGGTTAGGCCCTGAAACCATAACCTAATATTTTCGGGCACTTAGACAGCAGAGTGTCACTAACACTTAATTTGACAGTTTGTGGTTGAGTCATTGAGGAGCTGTCAGGCTTGATGAAGGGTTCGAGCTCATCGAACCTTCTCGGGACGCCTGAGCTCAAAACCCTAAAAAAAAACATGTATCAGACTTGTTTCGTTTTTCGACATCCGTGCACACCAACATCAAGACTCTAAACAAGACCGGAACTCCTTGGCCCAGAGGTCATTCTGTTGAAAGGGTGCGGGGACCGGGATTGAGGTTTTGGGTTCTTACTAAACTCCTCCCAATCGGTTTCCACATCTATCTGATGCGGACACCGAAAACACGTTACGCGTGGCGAGTATCTCTGTCATACGTCGCTAAGCCCAAAAGTACTATAAAGGAAGCCCCGACGGACGAACTTCAGGTTATTCCTGCTATGGTCTTACCCTATGCCTCCAGGGACCTTATTCTGGGGTCTTTAAGGGGTCTAGGGCCCTAACCATGAGGTCCTTGGAGGGATAGGGTTAGGGTTTAGGTTGTCAGAACTCTTAGAAACTGGATCCTGAAAACCTATAGCATTGGAAACCCAACCCAAGGCTCGAAGCCAAACCCGCAGAGAAACTCTTACACAACACTCATAATCATCATCCCGGTTCATAACTTAAAACTGTTCTGGAACTCCTTCAGAACCAGATGAAACGCGAAAAAACCGCCTTGGACGCAAAACCGAACCCAACAGAACCGGGGGGCTGCTCGCGGAGCTTCTGCAAGGATTGCTCCTGAGAGTGGAGCAACAAAAACTCACTGGCCCAAAACCCAGGTATATAAACGTTGAAACTTTCAGAATCGACTACCTTATAAGAGCCCCAAAAGTTGAAAAGTTGAGTTTACAGCCAAAAAGCAAACCATTCTCCAGGAGGGCGGGGGGGGGGGTGCTTAAGCTTACGGGAACCTGACTCAGTTTATACTATTATGTTATTCAACACCGCGCATGGAGGGAACTGCCGCAGATGCAGCAGCACCATCCACAGAGCCAGCAAACCCTAAACCCTAAACTTTCTCCCTAAACCCTCAACTTTCGTCCTAAACCCAATACGCACCTTTTCATAAAAATCCAAAGCACCCTAAACCCTAAACCCTAAACCTTAACCCTAAAATCCTAAACCCTAAACCTTAACCCTAAAACCCTAAACCCTAAACCTTAACCCTAAAACTCTAAACCCTAAACCCTAAAACCCTTAACCCAGGGATCCCAACATCTGCAGACCCATAAGTCGGCGCACTTGCACTGCCGGTGCTTTTGCTGGAGCTTGCAGTGGTCCTGCTTTGGTTTCCGGCTTTCGGGCTTTAGGGTTTTAGGGCTTTCGGGTTTTAGGGCTTTAGGGTTTTAGGGTTTTAGGGCTTTAGGGTTCAGGGTTTTAGGGGGCTTTAGGGTTTAAGGGTTTTGGGGTTTAGGGTTAACCCTATGCCTCCAGGGACCTTATTATGGGGTCCTTAAGGGGTCTCGGGCCCTAATTATGAGGTCCTTGGAGGGATAGGGTAAGGTCCTGATTGGCGAATGGCGGAGGCCATTGCCAAAGCACTCTCTGCGGCAGCTTCCCGACGAGAATCTGCTGCCGTCTTTGGCCGCGGTGCTAGAACCGACGGTGCAGCCATCGGCATGGGGATCATCTTACCTTTGGTTAGTAGGGAATGGAGGAATGGGGTACAGTTATAGCTACTATTACTACCATTCTTCCATTCCCTACTAACCAAAGGTAAGTTATCACCGGCATCACCACGACTGCTTGCTGCGAGCCACTGTCCCCGAGGAGCCGCAGTCCCCTCCCTCTGCCGACCGGACTCGCCTGGAGCATTCGGGTGTTTCCGAAAATTGGGGGGTACCTCATTTTGGGGTCCTTATAATAAGGATCCTACTATTTAGTAATAGGGTACTATATAGGGGTCCCCCATTTTCGGAAACTCCCACGTCTTGAAGCACGATCCAAGTTTGACGGGTTGCCTCGAAGCCGGCCACCGACTGCCCACCGGGCCACATTGCGACAACGAAAGCGACTAGAAACTTTAAGCTTTTGGAGTATAGGTGTCGTGAATAATTGGCGAGATGGCTCTTCCGGAGGAAGCCCTGCTTCATGCGGCGTCAGGTACAATGATCACCTTCAGGTGGGCAGCCAGTACCCAGCCCATTTGGCACGATTTCTCATACATGCTGCTATCTGCCCAGCCATGGGGGCGGCCAGCCGTCCTGCCAGACAGACTCAATGACGATGTCTACTGCCTCGTTCATGAGAATGAATATCTTCAGCATCATGTCGATGGAGTGTCGCCCATGCAGTACCGTGATCAGGTTGCTCGTGCTGTTGGAATTCCGATCCGCAACCTTGTGCTCTTCCCCTCCAAGCCTCGGCAGAATGATGTCGCCCTTTCAGGCTGGCACTGTCATACAGTCGTTGCAGTAGGAGCTGCCGACACCCCCGACAGACCATCCACCGAGGATAAAGGTTTAGCTCTCGTAGACTGTCGTCCCATGCATCAGGGATGGATCACTTTTCCCATTCACAACGGGTACTTAGAAGTAGATCCACTACTTGCAGTTCTGCAGCAGCTTGCGCCGACTGGCAAGCATGCTGTATTGCCTGAAATTCCCGAAGGCATGAACGTATACCAGGTCTTGCCAGGACAAGTGCTTTTAGCAACAGTTGCTGATCGGACCAGGCTTGCTGCCGCAAATGATGCTCCAGATAACGAGGCAGCTGCGCCCACAGCACCTCCTCGAACAAGAGACAGTACCCGCCTTGTGACTGGCACTGGCAGTTTGCTCAACGATGAGCCAACACCAGAGGCTGACACCACAAGCTCTGAACGGCCGACTTCAGGTGCTACTGATCAGGTTGACGAATATGTAGAGGCCACTTTCGTCATACTCAGGCCCGACTACCTACATGAATACGTACAGGTCAGGCTGCCTGTCGGCACAGCGACCGATGTTGCCATTCAGAGAGTTAATGCTGCAAGACTCCCACACATCAGGGCCCAATTCCCCAGACTAGCAGAGGTACGACAGCAGACCGAAGCTACACATGCCCTGCTTGTAGCCATGCCTGAATGGACTCCAGCCGGAGCGTTCGTTGTCTTCGATGCCAGCAGAGTCAGTGGCAGACTTTTCTGCCTTGACATTGCCACAGACCCTCGCAGGGAAGACATCCTCCACATAACTGAAATCGAAGCTCGGACTGCTGTAGATGTTTATGTTGGCGACCTGCCATGGGCTTTGCATCCAGACACAGCCATTGGAGTCACCACTGGTGACCTCATCTCCATCTTGCCAACAGGTCCTGACACCTTGGTTGTCACCACACTTGCCGACATGCTGATGTCCCCAGCAGGATGGCGACCTGAGCCAGTCATACCAGGTGAATATCGCGAGGTCACCTGGGTAGTTTCTGATGATCGCAGCTTCACTTTCGATGTTGACAGGTCTCGTGGGCAGCATTTTCGACAAGACCTCGCCGATTACATCAGATGTCCCGCCAACCAACTCGTGCTCAGACCAGCAGTGCCCAACCCCCTCAACTACCTCGTCAGAGGACGCCTGATGCGTGCAGTCATTATTGCCACCAGAACTGCAGAAGGTAGACATTACAGAAGTCCAAGGCCTGCAATATGCATTCTCGACCAGCGCCCGATCTTGCTTGGATTCTCTTGGACTTTCGCACCGAGGGGCGTCGTTGATCACATCGCCCTCTTGCAAAGGCACATTGCACGTTGTCCACCTGGGTTCCTGGTAGGATATACGGATGATAACGGGGTCACTAGGCCACTCACTGCACCAATTGCAGTTACTGATGGACAAGTGCTAACCATTGAGTTCATTCCGCCTCAGACCGTGCAGGCAATGCTGCTTCCGCCAGCCCAAGGCGGGCCTCAACAACCACCTGGCCCCACAGGATCAGGGTCTGCTGGACAAGACAGCGCAAGTGTTTTGGACATCCGCAGCCAAAACCTGCCAGGTACGGACGCCGGCACTGGAGGCACGCAAACTTCACAGGATCCTAGCCATCGTTCTCACCGTGCCCATTCCAAACATGCTGGCACAGAAAGGCCGAAGAACAACGGCGGTCCAAACCACCCATCACCGACTCCACCTACAAGTCGAGTTGAAACGTGGACAGCAGGCCATAAAAAAGACGTCTCGGCCACAGACATCCTGCTGTGCACCTCTGTCCTCCTTGTATGTGGATTCGTTGTCATGCAATGCCAGCGAGTCATTTTTCAGGCCAACAATTCTAGGGGTCTCGCTCCTCTCGGCACCAGCCTGACGGAACGCATTTTGCCACCCCTTGCATTTGCCGTTGCAGCCACCCGAAAGCGTGTTCCTATCCTCTGCATTGTGGGAGTCATCCTCATTGCCTGTCTTCCCACCTGCGACGCTACACTACAAGGTGCAACACAGTGGTCTGGTTCAGACGATGTCACGACTATAGTTGTCACCAAATTTGGCAACTATCCCTTGCCCTTAGTAATGTCACACCCTCAGGTTGCAGAGTTAGAAGGTGCAGCACCCAGGCCGAGACCAGTCGCCACACCTTGCCGAGCTCCCAGGGTTAGCTGCGAGGACGACACCCTTGACATCAGACCCACCATTGGGCCCACACTCCTTGAAGAAAGTGTGCAGCGACAGGATTCAAAAGCCTTTTTCGAAGCATCCACTCTTCTCGCCACACTGTGGGAACATTTTGGAGGTCGCCTTTCCAGTGCAGATGACCCTGGACACAGTCCAAACAAAACACCCGTATGCCTCGCCGACAGTGTTCAGGTCAGCCGGTACCAGCAGTCTGTTCTGCAATTACAAGATCTCCTTCCAACCGCCACCGCTGAAGGAGAGAATGATTGGCTTGACAATGACTGGCATGCACTCATTCATGAGCCGCTCCTTGAACGTCGTTACAAAGAACAGCTAGCCCAGATTCCACTCTGGCACCATGCGAAAGAGCCACTCAGTGTCAGTGAAATCATGATCTTCACTGATGGCTCAGCGTCTACCAGTGCAACCGATGTAGTGCCGTGCTCTTGGGGATTCACTGTCTGGCTGTCCACCCCATTTGGGTTACACTTTTATGGAGGTGCATCAGGACAGGCAACCCCCCCTGACACCAAATTTCATGTCGGAGAGCATGGGGACAATGCACTCACGGGAGAGCTGCTTGCACTGCTATGGAGCATAGTTTGGGCCACTGAGCATGCAGAGAAGCTAAAAGCTCCTGTTGCATTTTACTATGATGCAGAGGCTGTCGGCAAATGCGTCTTTGGTGAGTGGCGACAAATCAGCTATCCTACACACGAGGACCAGCACTCCCTTGTTGCACTCACCCTAGCGCTGCGACAGTATCTGTCCTGTAGACTGCAGATTTGGCACAAACATGTCAAAGGACACTCTGGCGTTTTTGGCAACGAAGTCACCGACGCAGTCGCCAAGACCGCGCGCAGAAGAGCAGCCCAATGCGAGGATGCTTGCTTACCGGAGTGGCCTGCGCGCCTCGCTAAGCACCCGCTGCTGTCCTGGATATGGATGCTCGCCGGCCATTCCCATGATGTTCCAGCGCTCTACGCTCTTGAAAGCGAGGCTACCAGGCTGAGATCCCATCAAGAGCCCTGTGATAAAGCACCGACACAAGGAGTCACAGAGATTCGCCCTCCGACAGGGCAAGTCCGCTACCAATTGAAGTGTATTACCTTCAACGTCCTGACACTCAAGGACGATAAACGAAGTCAGACTTCC